GCCTTTCCTCAGTCTACCACCTTTCTTTCTCTCGCTCTCTCTTTCTCTCTCTCTCTCTCTCTCTCTCTCTCTCTCTCTCTCTTTCTTTCTCTCTCTCTCTCTCTGAGCAAGCTATATTACACAGTTTTCTTCAGTCTGTATACTGCACGCCTGAAACGGTACTCGCACATGCGCAATATCTCCAGAAAATAATATTTTGCAAAAATTATGCAGTAAAAATGAAGAGGGGTTATCCTAGCATAGATTTATATGATAATATCTCATAAGTAGACCTCACTTATAAAATAGGAAAAAGACCTTGCATGTAAAGTCCCCGCTATATATACCAGTCAGTACGCAATCTGGCTACGTTAGTGGGTTAGCGCATGCGCAATATCTCACCAGAAGAGTTATATTTTGTGATGAATATGCATTTAATATGGTTAGGGGGTATCTCAGCATAGACCTATGTAATACATTTTTATCAGTTGACCTGTGTTTATAATTAGGAGAGTGCCCTAGACTGCAGAGGGCAAAACTCCTAATTCGTTCTCTCTCATCCTTCCCATTACCTTCTTTATCCCTCGCTCAGTCTCCTTCTTCTTTTACCGCCCCTCAGTTATCTTCCCTGCCACCCGTTTTTCAATTTCACACCCCTCTTTCCCTCAGCAAGCTATATTATGCAGTTTTCTTCAGTCCGTACTGCACGCCTGAAACGGTGCTCGCGCATGCGCACTATTAGAATTGCAAGACTATTGGCTCCAGCAATTGGCTGCTAGAGAAAAAATATATAATCGTCCGTTCAAGAATTAGGAACGCCCTCCCACTCAAGAATTAGGAACGCCCTCCCACGTTCGCACTGAAAGGTACACGAGGTTTTGAAATTCTGTATTCGACATTTTTTAATAAACGTATTTAATTACTTGTCCCGCAGACGAGCAGAAATTCCCGACAATATTTATGCGACTATTCCGGTCAACCTGCGCCCGGCGTCAGCTCCGTTGGTTATGGATAACGAGTTTAGTTTAGTGACCCTGCAACTGCCGACCTTTGAACCCGATGACCTTCAACGACTCTACGAGGTCAAGCATCGAATGGAAGCCATTAAACAATCACCGGGTAACGAGTATCTCTACTTGCGCTAAAATCATTTATTTCGTATTTGTTCGCTATTTTTTGTCACATGTTATTTAATTAATATTAGTTATTTAGTTAGCCTAGGTCGGTAGATCGCAATAACCTTGCTCAGCCCGCGGGGTTTCAGCCATATATATGTTGCTGCGAATACCTCAATTGAATCTTAAAGTAAAGACAGCCTGCAGGGAACCTAGCGACTAGATAGATCAGGGCCGAATCACAGGGTTGGGGGGAGATAGATGAGGAGATTATATATTAGATCTAGATTAAACATCTCCTCCTCGTTGTACAGAACACCTCATCACCGCCGCCATGATCAACTACACGCTCAACAGATACCCGAACTTCTTGAGCAAGCCCTTGTTCGACTTCATCACGAGGAAATACAGCCTGGTGCTGTCGAACGTTCCCGGTCCGCAGGAGACGATGAAGATCTTCGGGCGTGAAGTGAGGATGATGACATTCTGGCCACCGGGTCGGAGTAACGTCGGTAGGTGCCTGTCTCGCCAAGCGCATTTTTAGCGTTTGACTGTTGGGGACACTCAGAGAATACACATGCACACGCACATTTACACGCACGCACACGCGTACGCAAATGCACGCGCATGCACGCACTCGCACGCACACGAACACGCACACGCATACGCACACGCACACGCACATTTACACACACGCACACGCACACGCACACGCACGCACACGCACACGCACACGCGCACACAGGCACGCACGAACACGCACACACACACACACACGCACACGTGCACGCACACGACGCGCGCAGACACCTCACTCATAGATGCCACAAATGAACTGCTGAACGCATGTCACCCGGCGTTATTGCGCGCAAATATTTGTCTTATTATGTTTACGTTTTCATTTTGATTATTGCATTACACGTTTGTGAGTCTTCCAATACGTTGCAACTCTCCTGTATGTGCCCAGACTCCCTACAGTTATATTGACCAGCGCGTGCGACCACAAGCATTATCATG